ATTATTAAAAATTATTACAATAAGCTCACAGAAAAAAAGCATATAAATTAGACCTCTTCAGGCCGAGAGCTTTGAGATGGCCTTGCACGCTTTTTACGAGTAACTTGCTTACATGGCTTCATTTCAGTATTCATAGGTCCAATCCTGTCATAAACACACGGAAATACTATATATTCAACAATTTGAGCAAAAAAATAAACATAAATAAATAAAAACAGAATAATATGGACAGGGTTGTTGTTTACATTGTTCGGCAACCAGGAGCACTCCTGAAAACATGAGAGACTGCTAGGCCAATATCTTTCCATTGTATTGAAGTCGCATCCTCATCCTGGTTTCTATTTGGTCCACTTTGTTCTCCAAAATCCCTAATCAGACTGCTAACGAAATCTGAAGGAGTCATGCCTTCATTGCAATATTCTTTAACAGATGTTACCAAGGTGTTTGCAATGTCAAACAGGGCTTCCGCATCTGCAACTTGTTCCCTGGGTTTTGTTACTGAAAAAAAAAAAGGTAGAGAAAATACAAGTATTCAAGTTAAAACTTCCATACACACTCAAAATAACTTAATTTATTTTTCAACAAACAAGGTAAGCACTTATTGAAAGAGGAACAACCTTATTTCTTGGTAACAATTATTACATTTGACACTATTTCTTCTCAAGACAGAGTGACCAATCCATAATAAACAAGACTACACTTAGCATTGAATATATACCAAAATTTTAGAAAGAAGCCGAATAGTTGAAACTAAAATTGCATCAAATCAAGTGTATATTATACCAAGCTGATGCAAGCCATCAACTTCTTCAATTATTGATTTCAACTTATCTGAGTCAGCCTTTGAAATATCATCTTTCTCATCTGCAGAAAAAAAAGTATAAGGCTAATAAAATATCTATTTAAACATTCTAATTAACAACCCACAAAACAATTAAAAAAAAAAAAAAAGTTATGCTATGTAATTAAAAGTTATATTTCTCCAAATATTTTAATCAAATTCTTGACAACCATATAGTA